TGACTCTTGCAAAAAACGGGCGCCAAAGCATAAATATCTTTAAAGTAATGGTGAATTAGGCAGAGGCTCTTGAAAACTGTGTTCGGCCACCTTAAGTTGTGGAAACGTCAGTCGCCAACAAAAATTCTTTTCTGAAAAACCATAACACGGACGATCACATTAGATGAAAATTACTAATATACCTGGGCACAAACCATTTACTATGCACTGTTAACTAAATACCCTCGTTATTTTGAGTACTTAACGTTAACATCGTTTGTACCTCAGCCACGCATCTCATAAACGCAGACGCTCTTTAGGCTTTTCACGTAATCTTCCTCCTTTGTTGAGGGAGGAAGACTGCGTGACGAGCCCAAAGACTTTGACAAAGAAAGTGACGCCATCCATAAACCCCCCTATATCGCACATGTAGTGTAGTAAGAAACGTACAAACCACTATGGTGTCATGTCATGGCACTTAACATACATTTAACAGGAAAAGTGCGTTAAAATAGTAGCAGTGGGGATTGGTTCGGACGTGGATCACGACAGCCTTCAGTTGATTGCAAGGGAGGGGAGACAGGTGTTTATCGGACAGAAATTAGCAAGGCTAACAGGAATAATTGAAGTAATCACTTCATTTGCTTTTTCTGGTGAGTTGGAATAGAAGCGTCTTGTGTTTTGATGGCTTCTCAGTTAAAGTTAATTATTGTAAGAATCGTGGCTCTACTCTAGTTTAAAGTAGTATGACATTACCAGCACTTTAAACCTGATGGTTATAATAGTCATTCCAGCAATGATTAGTGTTAGCTTCGTTCACTTTCCTACGTTTCTTTCGTTTGTTGACGACCGAATGAACGAAAGAAATAAAGAGAAAGGGATGGAGGGAAGGAAGAAAGGGAGGGAGGAAGAAAAGAAACAAAAAAGGAACATTTTAAATTTTTCTCAAGGCAACTTCAGAGCCTGAATTCACATGAAAGTACTGACATAGCAGACTGTTCTCAGCTCTCTTATAGTCAGTGACACGTGACTAGAAAGGACAAAAGGAGAGTGAGGACTAGGGAGAACAGAGGTGTTTCTCTTTTCCTGTTTTTCTCATGCACCTATTAAACTTTCCTGTCCCATCTCAGACTGAACGGAACCAGGAACAGGCTACTATATAGATAATACTACGAAAGCTATTTTGATAGTTAAGAGAAGAAGCCGTTTTAACAACATTGTATTTTTCAGGTTAAAGAGGCTCAATATTTTCCAGGAAGCATTCTTGACAACACTGGCACAAATTTCAAGAACGGGGGCTGCAGTAATGTTGATTTCAATAAATATGACCTTTTATGTTCCTGACCTCCTTTATTGCAGAACAAAGGTTATTAAAAGGGGAACCTGTAGTTTAATTTGGTCATTGAATGAAATGTCATCAAAAGAGCTCATTAAAATGCTTTAGAAAAAGTTCCACATGATTTTCACAGTCTATGAAAAAGCTATTAAGTTTCATTTCCAGGGCTGCTTTGGATAACAGAATCATCTTTTGACACTGACTGTGTTAACCTAGCTTGAATAAAATAAAGGTGTATGTAGGTATTAATTTAAAGCGGCTGTAATCCTCAGCCCAGAGTTGATGGCAAATGTGACCTATGGTTTACTTAATGGCTGGCTTCAGAAATAATTACTGAATCAAAGCTTGCCTTGGACACCCAAGCACCCACCCATCACAGAAACTTAGGATTGAAAACTGGTCATCGTACTTCCCAAAGCTAAAATCTCTTGCTCTCAGAGAAAACTTTATCATTGTAAGACAAACAGATGCAAGAAGCTGTTATCCTGAATCACTGGCCATGTACTGTAGGATTAATTTTGACTGTAGCTATCATAGTTTATTAATAGATTCAACCAGATTTACATTCATGTAATTTGTGACCAAAAGCATTTACAAGTTTATAGTACAGTTGTACATCCAATGGGCCATGCCATGGTACTAATACAGTTTGTATCAAAATGGATCTTACAAATATGAGAGGTTCCTTCAGGAGAAGATGAGAAGACCTGGGTACAAGACCAAATAACAAACACTTCTATAAACCATACTTGTGAAATACTGCTTGAAACTCTAAAACACAAGACTTAGAACACAATCATGAAAAAAAAAAGTTCTCTACAGCATAATTATTCCTGGTTCTATCTGTAATAAGTTATTCTCAGATTCTGTGCAATTTAGGGCTGGTAGAAAGCATGTAAAATGTCAACAGGCAAATTATTTTGATCCCAGATGAATCCCAATGAATGGTTTGTTGTGTGAACTGAAAGATATGCCTGCTACCAAGTTGAGGCCATTGGTTGTGGATTTTGAAGATATGACATCACAACAGCTGAGACAGATAATCTGAAAAGAAAATCAGAATGAGTTTAAATGCTTCAAGCATTCAGTAAGAATTAAAACACCTTTAAGTCTCTTATGCAGGACAATCTTTTCAGTTGTCACTTAATTTTTTCTCGATGATTGCATTGCAGAAGCTACCAATTTCATAGCACTGATTGAAAATGTATCTCGGATAATCTCGTCATTCCACTACACCTATGAATAAGACAAGACAAACCACGCCAAGCATGACTAGGTAACAATGTGTTGCTGAATTTTATGCAGCACTTGCCTGATATTTAAAAAAAAACTCTTGGACTTTTTAGTTGGCAGCTGCAGTAAGTCTGCTGACAAAGTCATTCAAACCAGTACATAATGGCCCCTGCTTTAAGGGAAATCTCAGTGAGAAACCCACATGTACATGTATTTTCATTGAAAGCTTGGTTAAACCTCAATAGACAATACAGTGAAGACCCCTGATTCAGCAATTTTTCACCGACAAAATCCCTTCCAAATATGAGTCTAACTCATTTCAAAAATAAAAATTCACACTTGACTTAACATGTATGTAAATGATAACAATCTCTTCTAAAATCCACCTCCCCCTCCTCCACATCACATAATAACAAAAATACAATGTTAAAGTGAACACAAAGCCTTCCTGAGAAAATTAACCTGGGGGCTTTTATGGGTGATGTGCAGCATTCAATGTACATGTACATATCAGTCAATGACCTGGAAAAATTATCTGGCCATACTGATTGAACTGCTAAGGGTAATTTTAAAAGAATATATGCAGTTTAGTTGTATGATATCAGTTAATGGCTATGCCTTGCACTGGTGACACACGTTTCTGTGTCAAACAGATGACAAATGTACAATGTACATGTAAGTTTGACCAAATCTGGTAAGGAATTATGTGAAACTGGAAAACTCAATCACAGTGTCTGACCCTTTTCCCATCACTGTAGAATGAGTGATCTTTGCCAATCTTTGGGAGACTATTTAATTATTACTGATCAGAGATGACATTTAAACTCACGGTAATCTTCGAAAATTCTTTATCATCAAAGCCCCCATGTTATCTTTCAATTGATAATCTTTGTGCACAGTAATTCAGTGCTGACCTTCAATCCTGGACAAAATTAGTTAGGACAATTGAGCTGGATCACGTATCCCCCATCTCCCCTAATCAATGCTGTAAAATGCAGGGCTTTTTTTTTCAACAAAAAGGGAATTATCAACATTGTAAGTGGGGGGAGGGGAGAACTTGCTTGGTGTTCAAGTTTCTTGTCTGGGATCGTTGATCCAACTAACTACCAGTAAAATTAATTGCTTTTTTCCTTTAGGCTGTTAATCTAATGATTTCTACAGCAAATTGTATACTTACAGAAAACTACTGAACATCTGTTTGGTATCCTCTGACGAGCGTGAGTTGGAAAAAGTAATGAATGAACAATATACAGCTGCCCATGCTGCCCATTTGAGCTAGGAATAAAGTGTTGATACATAATTATTTACTATTATTAAAGAGAATGATATTTACCATTTTTACCATTTTAATCTTCTAAGAGTAACTAAAACTTATGCACCTGTAAAGAGGTTCATACTTTGCTCAGTGTAAAATTTTTAACTATTTGCTGGATTAGAAATACATTAATTTTTTTTGTTATATGGCTAGCTTGGTGACCGAGTACAATGAACCAAATCATGTGCTCTGATTGGGTAACAGAGCAGACAAGATGGGGGCATTTGGACCCAATTGGTACTGTTTGCTTCATTCTGCAACAAAGTGGTTATATCCTTCATTGACCAAGCTTGTTCTGACAAGAGGGCTGAATATTTGCCTTGCTTTTTTGCATGTTTATGAACCTCAACTACGTCTCAATCTATAAACATGCAAAACAGATCTTGGCTAATATTTTGACCTCTTGCTTGGTCAATAACCCATATGTACAATTATATGAAACAAAGAGAGACTTCATAATGATAAAACAATATTATTTCAAGTCTAGGGTATTGAAAGAATTGGGCTACATGGTTTACTTCCATCCCCACTTAAAAGCTGCTGCACACTAGCCGATTTTTTGTCGTAGAACTGCAGATTTTTTGTCTGGGTCAAATTGCGTTAAAATTTGTTGGGCCATCAGCTTGCTGCACATCAGCCAATTTTTTGTCATGACTAACCGCAATGAAGCTTGGGGCCCAGTCATCCAAAATCAAGATGGTGCCTATTCCACTGATGTGACTCTCATGAAATTTCCTAATTGGTTGAGGTGTGTGTGAGCCCCAACAAATTGTCTTGCTCCAGCGCACACTGGCTGACAAGGCCTGAAAAGATGTTTTGAGATCTAGCACTGTCAGATATCGCCTGACAAGCCTCGATATTGTCGCAGACTTGTCTGAATTCACCGCACACTAGCTGACAAGTGAAGTTTTTTGTCGGCCAACAAAAAATCGGCTAGTGTGCGGAGGCCTTCAATGAATTAAATATATTTCAGTCAAAGATGGCTAGATATTCAGTTTGCCAGGCTGTCTAGATAACAAATCACAGTACAGGATATGACTCAACTTACTCGCTAGCCTAACTAGCCATCATGAAGGTTAACACCGAACACAACACACGCAAATATCACAAGATCGAACGTTCGATTGTGTTGGTAACATTTTTTACAGAGCAGAGGTGAAGAGCAGGAGATCTACATAATTTTTACAGTGTAAATACATTTTATGGTAGTAAAACCTGTACATGAAAAATTATAGGGATTTAAAATCTCTTTTTACACATTGTGGGAACTTACTGATCTCATAAAAATTATGTTATGACGATGAGATAAACAAATTTAAGTTAACATGTTTGATTACAGATCGACTACATTCAGAAGTGTAGCGTTCTACATACCTTCATCAGGAGCCCACACATACTAAATATCATTCCTAGAAGGTTCATATACTCTGCTGTCGGATCATCTGTAGGCTTGCTAGTCACCGGCTTGTATCGGAAGATTTTTGCGGGCCTTCTAGGATCTTCTTTTGGCAACGAATACGACGCACCGGCAGGCATGTTGAATCGCGTGAGGAAGAACTTCCCGGCATGCCTTGTGCAGACATTCAATATGGCGGTCCTGAGGCAATTTACGTTCCCGGTCTAGACAACTCTCTTTGCATTGAAAGTCCATGTTTTCGAATTTTTCAGCTCGATTGAAAAGCAGATTGTAAATGTTCACTCCCAATGATTGCCTAAGGCATTTGCAAAGCTTTTATTAGGGTGTTTTTGCTCATTAAAACCTCATTCCTCGACTAGAACCAGGGGTGGTAAATTAAGGCACGAGCAAGACTGGTAACGAAAGCTATTGCAAAATATTTATACTCCACGTGGGTCGTGAATGATCATTTGCACGTAACTAGCGAGTAAACGCCGGCAAGAGAGATGGCTGTTTCTCCGACAATTTACTTGTTTTCTTGTGCCTTTTTGGTCGTTGCTTTTGCATGGCTTTCAACTGGAAAGAACTGCCAGAGTTTAGACGGCAAATGGTATAATCAGCTGGGTTCTGAGATTTTCCTAAAGCACGAAAACGATGGAAGATTACTAGGGGAGTACAGAACGGCGGTTGAGAGACAGAATGGCTCGGCCGGCGAAACTCATTCAATCCTGCTAGGTGAATATGAGAACTTAACTGTTTATGTTCAAAAATTCTGATTTGTAATATTTTCAAGCAGTGCAAGTACAAATGCAAGCTTAAATGCGATAGCTGGCATGCCTGACCATGCCTGACTTCCAAATTATCATTGATATTACACGCATTACAGGCATTACGGGTGTAATATTGTAGTGTTGCCTGTGTTGTTTAGCTTATACTGTGCTTAGTTTCGTATTTTTATCTCTTTTTTTGAGACATTGTTATGTTTTACAGGCAATGGAAGTTTTAATTATGTCCTGTGGTGTTTGGCCTTCTATCGAACAATACTTGTGATTTATTAATGAAGTCAGTGTACCGGCCGTGGGTTTCACGAGGTATACACGCGTTCAATAGACCAAGTAAAAAACCTTGGGAAACACGTGTTTCTTAATAGCCGCAAGGCTTGTTCACTTATACCAACAGTAAAATATAATGAAGCTAACAATAAGAAATAAGCCTGATTACTCATGGTGCCGTGACTAATACTATTGATCCCATACATCCTTTGAGATGGCTTTTTTTTTTCAGGCCGTCTCCCAGGCACCGTTGGTTTCATTCGCGTGATTAAAAAAAAAGTGACCACGTGGTGACAAATAATTGAAGGCTTTCATGCAAAAAGGGCATATATAGCATTTTGGGCCGATTTTTTTTTTTTTGCAGGAGCGAGCTAATTTTTGGCAGACTGACTTGGTATGACATGAAAAGCATCATTGCGCAATTGTTTTTGTTGATTTGCGCTTCGTTTTCGAGAAATAACATATGCAAAAAACTCAGTTTTCCAACGGTATCTTTTGGAGATCTTTTGTTGAGTGAAAAACAAAAGAAACCTTTTGTTTTGCTAAACGATGAAGTCACCGAAGTGTGGTAT